GTAGGAGGACGCGCAAGGGGGCCGCCAGGTGGGGGCCGGTGCCCAACCCAGGCAGGGCCGGGGGAGAGACACAGCTCCAAATATTGGTGGAGCAGGACCCCCCGGCTCTGAATATTACTGGAACACGGGCACTGTGATGGACCGGGCTGGTCTGGGCACAGCTGAGGGTGTCCACTCAGGGCGAATTGCTCAAACTAGGGGCTCCTTACAGCCACCAGACTGGTGACCTTTCCAAACAGGCCACAGACCAGTCCCACAGAGCGCTTCAGCTGCCTGCCTGAAGCCTCACGAGCAAAACCCCTCCAATGCCCCAGCAATATCCGTGCCCCAGATGGCCCCGGGCCTCATACACAGGTGGGGGGTCTTAGAACCCAATCCCACCTACCCCGAACAAGTTCTGTCCGGTTCCAAGAAACCAGCCACAGATCCCAAGTCAATTTACCCTCTGGATTTTGCCCACAAATCACGCTGAGCCAAACCTGGGCCCCCTGGGGGTTGCCCCCCCCCGGCAGCCCAGCCACGCTGCTCCCAACCCCCCCTCTTCCTCCTCCTGCCCAGGGCACCCCCTGCAACCTACTCTTCCCTCCACCCCCCCGCCCGGAGTTTAAACTCACCACACTTGATGGGGTGGTGAGGTGATGATCCTGCATCCCTGCCGCTTCTTTCTGCAGAGTCCTAAGACCTGCCGGTTTTCACCGCGCAGCCGTGCATGTGCGGCAAACCCGGCGTGGCGCCTGTTCCCCAGAGTGCCGAAGCGGTGCTCCTTCTAGTGCGGGGGCTCGCGCCATGGGTGGCCCTTTGAAACAATAGGGTGTGCCTGTGCACACCCGGCACACCCCGTGCGCACGCCTATGGGTCTGGAGACAGGTCACTGAGGGGAAACTTGAAAACTTTCTGCAGGCACATGGGGCTGGCGGTGACGCATCGAAGAGCAGTAACTCTCATCCCCCTCTGCCATTCCTTTCATGGGAGGGTCTTCAAAAGCCCTGGTATAGGAACATCACTAGGAACACACTGGCAATATACAGATAGGTAAACTGAGGCACTGGGAGGCTTGAGTTGCCCAAGGTCATACAGAGGGTGAATGGGAGGATGCAATATCAAACCAAGGAGTTCTTACTTCCCGGCCATAACATTGGTCCTTCCCTCACACCAAGAGGGAAATCGACTCCCACTCAGGCAGGGCCTGGTCCTTGGGGTGGAGGAAAGGCTGAAAGAGGGAGCCAGAGCCTGAGCAGATTTTCATGGTGACTCTGAGGATCTCAGAAGGAGCTGGAGTGTGGGAGCTCCCCGCCCCTGGGAGTGGTGAACTCCGGGACTCCACTTCCCCTCCCACCCAGAGACCTGCCCACCCAGCACAGGCCCTGGGCCGCCTTCCTACGCACTCCCAGGACAATCCCTGGGGCAGGGGGAGACCAGAGTCTGGGGCAGAGAAAAGGGGGACGGGGGAAGGAAGTGAGGCACCTTCTTGGAGATGGGACGACCGAGAGCCTCAGAGGGGGACTTTCCCACAATGCAGCAGACTCTGAGCAGAGATTTTGACTGAGGCTTGAGGCCGGGTTTCACGAGAGATTTGAACCTGGAATCATCCGCCTTTGTTGGGAGAGACCGTTATCAAATTGCCGTCTTATATGGGGCAGGACAGGAGGCCAGGGCTGGCTTTCCCAGCATGCAACGCAGATTTTGTTTGCACCCCCGTTTTGTCAATCCGATGTTTTCTGCTGTGGTGTGGGGAAAAACACCCCCAGGACCAAGCAAAGCGCACCTATTGGCAGAGCACTGGCAGCAGGAGGGGCGGCCTGGCGGTGTGATAAGAAGAACAGCAGGAGAGTCTCTCTCACCTGTGCGGATCTTGGAGGTGTGGAACGGACAGAGCCTGTGAGGCAATGAGGGAAAAGGGCAGGAGGGGAGGTGTCAGTGGGGGGGGACAGGATGATGTTGGAAGAGGAGAGGGGAAGGGCTTTGGAGGCGAGAGGGGAGAAGGGGAGGTGCTGGAAGAAGGCATGAAAGAAGGGGTGAGCATGAGGAAGGTGGGGATGGAGCAAGGCACGTGTGAGGGCACAGGGACATGTGGGGAACAGGGGCAGAGGGTGCTGAGGGGGTGGGCATCAGAGAAAAAGAGGGCAAAGGGGAAAGGGGACAGGGTGGAGGAGAGAGACAAATGCCAGGGGGCCAAGTGGAGACATTGAGGAATAGGGCAGGAGGGGAGGTGTCAGTGAGAGAGAGGACAGGATGATGCTAGGAGAAGAGAGGGGAAGGGCTTTGGGGGCGAGAGGGGAGAAGGGGAGGTGCTGGAAGAAGGCATGAAAGAAGGGGTGAGCATGAGGAAGGTGGGGATGGAGCAAGGCACGTGTGAGGGCACAGGGACATGTGGGGAACAGGGGCAGAGGGTGCTGAGGGGGTGGGCATCAGAGAAAAAGAGGGCAAAGGGGAAAGGGGAGGTAGCAGGAGGGTGCAGGGCTAAGGGAAGGTGCAGGTGCCAGGGGATTCTGGGGGTGACGCAGAAGGGCAGACACCTGCAGGGGAGGGACCAGCAGCAGAGGAGAGAGGCAGGGCACGTGTGTAGAGGGAGGTGTTAGGAGAGGGGATGAGGAGGGGTAGCTCACATGATCAGGATGGGGCTACTGGAGGAGGGGGCACAGGGGGCAGAGAAGGGCTGGTGGAGGGGGGGAGGGGGCGGGGGATGGGAGGGTAGGGGGGGGGGGGGAGTTGGGGGGGGGGGGCAGACAGCAGGCACCAGGGGAGCTGATGGAGCAAGAGGAGGAGACTTGGCAGCAGAGAGAAAAGGTAGAGGTTTATAAAATATTTACAGTGGCAAATCCAAACAAGTCCCATAAACTCAGTACTGGTGCACAACACAAAATTCATTCTGCTCATAGGAGGAAACTCTTAGTTGATGCCTACACTGGCGGCTTCTTGTGCAAGAAATCTTGTGGAAGAACACATCCACACTGCCATGTGCGAGCTGTGCTTTGGCACAAGAGATTTGCTTTTGCGCAAGAGCACCCATAGCGGTGCGGACACTATCTTGTGCCAGAAAGCTCCGATGGCCATTTTAGCCATAGGAGTTTCTTGCTCAAGAAATCCCTGCCGAGCGTCCACACTGCCCTCTTGCGCAAGAGAGCTTACACCTGTTAGAAAAGAGCGTTGCTCTTGCACAAGACGCCCTCTCTTACCACGACGTGCTGTAAATTTCCTTGCGCAGAGCAGGCGGGCAGTGGATGCTCTGTGGGTTCTTGGGCAAGAACAGCTGCATGATAGAGATCTATAAACTCATGGCTGGTGTGGAAAAAGGAAATAAGGAAAAGTGATTTACTTGTTCCCATAATAAAAGAACTGGGAGTCGCCAAATGAAAGTGAAACCAGGGCTGGTCCCTCAACTCCCATAGTCTGTGCTCAGTGGGAGGGACTGAGCCATTGGGACCCATCCCACCGTCATTGGATGCCTTATTCTCCATACTTTCAGCTCACGCCAGCTGGGGTGTGCAGCTGCTCCTAGGGAAAGTGACTTGCTCTGGAGCTGCATTGGAACTAAGCAACAGCACAGCTTCTTTTCAGGCTGGGAGGAAAGGGATTTGAACCTCAAACCCAATGCTTTGGACACTGATGCTTAACTATTAGGGCACAGCGAACCAGCCCACTAACCTTTCTTCAGCAGGTATCCTTGGTTATCTAAATCTTGTGGCGGGCACAGCCAGCCTCCTGAATGGGTAGATGGACACATATAAGAACATAAGAACGGATGTACTGGGTCAGACCAAAGGTCCTTCTAACCCAGTATCCTGTCTGCTGACAGTGGCCAGCACCAGGTGCCCCAGAGAGGGTGGACCAAAGACAACAATCAAGCAATTTGTCTCCTGCGATCTCTCTCCAGCTTCTTACAAACAGAGGCCACGGACACCATTTTATCCCCTGGCTAATAGCCTTTTATGGACCTAACCTCCATGAAATTATCTAGCTTCTCTTTAAACTCTATTATAGTCCTAGCCTTCACAGCCTCCTCTGGCAAGGAGTTCCACAGGCTGACTACATGCTGTGTGAAGAACTTTCTTTTATTAGTTTTAAACTTGCTACCCATTAATTTCATTTGTGTCCTCTAGTTCTTCTATCATGGGAACTAATAAATAACTTTTCTTTATTGGCCCTCTCCACACCACACATGATTTTATATACCTCTATCATATCCCCCTCAGTCTCCTCTTTTCTAAACTGAAAAGTCCCAGTCATTTTAACCTCTCCTCATATGGGACCCGTTCCAAACCCCTAATCATTTTAGTTGCCCTTTTCTGAACCCTTTCCAAGGCCAAAATATCTTTTTTGAGGTGAGGAGACCACATCTGTACACAGTATTCAAGATGTGGGCGTACCATAGTTTTATAGAGGGGCCGTAAGATATTCTGGTCCTAATTTTCTATCCCTTTCCTAATAATTCCTAGCATCCTATTTGCCTTTTTGACCGCCGCTGCACTCTGTGTGGAAGTTTTCAGAGAACTGTCCACGATAACTCCAAGATCTCTTTCCTGATTTGTCGTAGCCAAATTTGCCCCCATCATACTGTACATACAGTTGGGGTTATTTTTCCCGATGTGCATTACTTTACACTTATCCACATTAAATTTCATTTGCCATTTTGTTGCCCAATCACTCAGTTTGGTGAGATCTTTTTGGAGTCCCTCACAGTCTGCTTCTGTCTTGACTATCCTAAACATCCTGAACAAGGGGAGGACCCCGAGACACCAGAGGGCTCAGAAACCGGAACCAAGTCCAACCCTATCAAGTTGTCCAAGAGGGTAAAAGCAGAACCGGCAAGTTAGGGCTGCTAAGTCCCGGGAGGGGGACATTTGCTTGGGACCAAGGAATGAGAACATGAGGGAAAATTGTGGCTGAGAGAGAAGAGGCCCTTTGGGAAAACCCAAAGTCCGGGGCCCATATTTCATTATCTAGAGGGACCTCCTAGACCAGATCATGCATGATCAAGAGGTACACCAGCTTCCAGTGCCATGGAATCACCAAAGGGCAATCTTAAGCCTCGCTCACAGTCACCTTTTGGGGGACACCTGGGGGTGGAGAAAACACAGGTAAGAATTTTGCACAGGTTCTTCCGGCAGGCGGCTGATGAAGATGTCCAACAGTGTTTTGCCTCCTCTCCCAAGTGCTAATTACACAGCCTTCATCCCCATCTATGAGCCCCTCTAGTACCCTTGTCAAGGTTCCAGCCATTGGTCGGCTCTGACACCCCTCTTCTTACTGGCAGAAGGTAGGAGCTGAACAGAGCTCATCAGTAAGGCTTCCTGTTTCTCACAGCGATCACAGAATTTATGGGTTCTGCAACTTCCTGTGACCACCGTGACACCTGCAGCTGTCTGTGTGGATGACCCAGGAGATGCCTGAGTATCTCAGGGTGTTGCTCTCTTTCCCCACAGCACATGAGTGAGACTGTAGGTGGGACTGTATTAGGGTCATAATTCAAAATGAACTGAACAAATTGGAGAAGTGGTCTGAGGTAAATAGGATGAAGTTTAATAAAGACAAAGTGCCCCACTTAGGAAGGAACAATTAGTTTCACACATAAAGAATGGGAAGAGACTGTCTAGGAAGGAGTACGGCAGAAAGGGATCTAGGGGTTATAGTGGACCACAAGTTGAATATGAGTCAGCAGTGTGATGCTGTTGCAAAAAAAGCAAACATGATTCTGGGATGCATTAACAAGTGTGTTGTGAGCAAGACACGAGACGTCATTCTTCCGCTCTACTCTGCACTAGTTAGGCCTCAATTGGAGTATTGTGTTCAGTTCTGGGCACCACATTTCAAGAAAGATGTGGAGAAATTGGAGAGGGTCCAGAGAAGAGCAACAAGAATGATTAAAAGTCTAGAGAACATGACCTGTGAAGGAAGGCTGAAGGAACTGGGTTTGTTTAGTTTAGAGAAGAGAAGATTGAGGGGGGACATGAGAGCCGTTTTCAGGTATCTAAAAGGGTGTCATAAGGAGGAGGGAGAAAACTTGTTCATCTTGGCCTCTGAGGATAGAACAAGAAGCAATGGGCTTAAACTGCAGCAAGGGAGATTTAGGTTGGACATTAGGAAAAAGTTCCTAACTGTCAGGGTGGTAAAACCTGGGAAAAGATTGCCCAGGGAGGTTGTGGAATCTATCAGGGATGGTCTATTGGTCCTGCCATGAGGGCAGGGGACTGGACTCGATGACCTCTCAAGGTCCCTTCTAGTCCTAGTATTCTATGATGGACCTAACCTCCATGAATCTGGGATGGTCTAGACGGTATTTGGTCCTGCCATGAGGCCAGGGGATTGGACTCGATGACCTCTCGAGGTCTCTTCCAGTCTTCGTATTCTATGATTCTATGATTCTATTCGGGAAGAAATACTGCAAAAATAGCTTATTTCAAAATAGCATGGCTACATTACAGGGAAGCCTAAAATTGGTCCCAGGGAAGTTCCCCAAATTGGACGCACAACCTCAATTTAGAGTCCCAGGAGGCGCTGGGGAGTAATTACACTGAATGTCCCAGGAGTGGAGCTATTCTGAAATAGGGTTATTCCTCATGGAACAAAGTTTAACTGACGTCGGAACAAGCTGTCCATTATACACAGAGCGGCCAATTCCTCCCCGTCTTGGTGCAGAGGCAAGGAGTTCTCCTCGCCCTGTGGGAAGGGCCCTTAATTAGAGCCGACTCTCAAGGCAGCAGCACAGACAGGCTGGTCTCCAGTCTGTTTACATTGATACTCTCGCTTCTCCACTACAGTGTGAGCAAACCCTACTGGGACTGCACAGAGCTATCTTATAAAGGGGCACAGACCTGTGTTACCTGGCAGCCATGGATGTCTAAGAGATGCTGGGGTGAGTGTTGTGTGGGGCAGAGTGGCCTGAGGGGGCTTCCCCAGGAAGACACGCGCATCTCCAAATTCCCACACACCTGTCTCTTGCTGAAGACGCACCTGCTGGGCAGCCTCAGTGCAATTTGGGAAGGGTGGTACAGTGTCGGGCAGGGTAGGATTGCGAGTATGTCTGTGATGCTTTCTACTCTGGGCAGCCATTAAACAGGGAGAGAGGAGCGTGTGTATTATAATAAGATCAGCCTTTTACTGTCAGATAATTTCTCGGATAAGTGGGTGACGCTGTCTGTCTCTCTCTGTCAGATATTTTCTGTATCTCTTTTCTGCTCCCTCTCCAGTTTTTCCACGTCCTTTTCGAAATGTGCCCCCTGCCTGGATGTGGATGGTTTTACCAATGCCGGGAGCAGAGACAAAACCCTTCCTCTGCTCCCACCCACCACTGCCCAGTTCATGCGCATGATGGTGTGATTGCCCCTAACGACACCAAAATCTCTTTCTGGGCCCCTGGGTACCAGGACCGTGTAACCCAGTCAGGGCATCAGGCCTGCACACCCTGTTCTGAGGGGACCACTTTCCATGTGGCTCTCTTACAACGTTCTCGTTCTATCGGTGCTCCTGTCCCGGCCGACTCATTCTAACCCCATTACCCTTCGGTGTAGCGTAGCCAGGTTTTATCAGCAGCCATTTTACCTTGGCTGCCACATCATTCATCAAAATAATGAGGAGCATCCGGCCGACCACTGATGCCCTCAGGATACATCCCCATTCACTGACAATAGCCCATTGGCAACTCCTTTCTTAGTTCACTTTTGGAGCTGAATGTTTTCTCTTATGAATTAACACCCATCAAAGAAATCAAATTCTATTCCATCTGCCAGGTTCCCTTGAGTAGCCAGACGTTCACTTTTGCTACAGGGTGAAACTGGTTTCTTACACCCACTGACTGACTGGCATGAATTAAATTCCTCGATCTTTTTGGCACTGGCTAATTGTATCGACCTTCCAGAAGCCCTCCTGTTTGTTACTCTCATTTCCGCGATTACATTGTTTTCCACTGAGTCTGCCTGTTAATTTGCCTCAGTGTTGAAGAGTTAGCTCTTGGATCTCTAACTGTCTGCAAGTCTCGGAGGGGGAGCTGTATTCGCCTGCACCATTCAAACCTATGAGCACTCCCATGGCACCTTAGAGATGCTAACAACTCACCTGTTGAAGTCGGCCTTAGCAACCAAATCTCCTGACCTTATAAATGTGTCAGTCTCTTAGGGTATGTCTACACTACCCTCCTAGTTCGAACTAGGAGGGTAATGTAGGCATACCGCACTTGCAAATGAAGCCCGGGATTTGAATTTCCCAGGCTTCATTTGCATAAGCGGGGAGCCGCCATTTTTAAATCCCCGCTGGTTCGAACCCCATGCAGCGCGGCTATACAGGCTCGAACTAGGTAGTTTGGACTAGGATTCCTATTCCGAACTACCGGTACACCTCGTTCTGCTGGGCACAGGTCTTGGGAAAGTCTCGGGGTCGTCACTCTCCCAGATTTTGAGCCACAGAACAAATTGGGAAAAAGGCAGTAGGGCTGAATTTGTTCCTTAGTGAATAATGATAAACAATGAAAAACTATTTCACTAGGAGGTGGTGAAGCACTGGGATGGGTTACCTAGGGAAGTAGTGGAGTCTCCATCCCTAGAGGTGTTTAAGTCTTGGCTTGACAAAACCCTGGCTGGGTTGATTACGTTGGGATTGGTCCTGCCTAGCGCAGGGGGCTGGACTTGATGACCTTCTAGGATCTCTTCCAGCTCTATGGTTCTATGATTCTATGAATAATCTTGCAGCACTTTGAGACAAACAAAACATGTAGCTGTTAGTCTCACAGTGCTGCAAGACTCTTTGTTGTTGGTTTTTTAAGTGTTTCCAGTTACAGACTCACACCTGCACCCCTCAGAAACGTTTGGAAAACGATAGGTAGCTGGTATCCACTCTCCTGTGTCCTGCTGGTGCCATGTGCAGAAGCAAAATCCTTTTACAGCTCTGACACATGCACTCCCTCCTTAGTGCATCCAAGCATCCCCTCAGTCCTTTTGGTCACAGCATGAGACAGGGCACTCACAAAGAGTCGTGTGTCCTCTCTGACCTCTACATCATAAGAGCGGCCATACCGGGTCAAACCAAAAATCTATCTAGCCCAGTATCCTCTCTACCGACAGTGGCCAATGCCAAGTGCCCCAGAGGGAGAGAACACAACAGGTAATCCTCACGTGATCCCTCCCCTGTCAGCCATCCCCAAACAAACAGAGGCTGGGGTCACCATTCCTATTCACCCTGGCTAATAGCCCTTGATGGATCTAACCTCCAGGAACCTATCTAGCTCTTTTTTGAACCCTGTTAAACTTCTAGTCTTCACAACATCTTCCAGCAAGGAGTTCCACAGGTCGACTGCACTCTGAATGAAGAAAAACGTTCTTTTGTTTGTTTTAAACCTCCTGCTTATTCATTTCATTTGGTGACCCTAAATTCTTATATTGTGAGAATTAGTAAATAACTTTTCTTTAAGACTAACTGAAGTGTTGGAGCATAAGCTTTCATGGGCAAAGACCTACTTTGTCAGATGCATGTACAAAGTGGGTCTTTGCCCACGAAAGCTTATGCTCCTACATTTCAATTAGTCTATAAGGTGCCACAGGACTCCTCGCCGCTTTTTCAGATTCAGACTAACACGGCTACCCCTCTGATACTTAATTTTTCTTTATTCACTTTTTCCACACCAGTCATGATTTGATAGACCTCTGTCTTATCCCCCGTTAGCCTCCTCTTCTCTAACCTGAAAAGTCCAAATCTTCTTAATATCTCTTCATATGGGACCCGTTCCAAACCCCTCATCATTTTTATTGCCCTTTTCTGATCTTTTTCCAATGCCAATAGATCTTTTCTGAGATGAGGTGACCACATCTGTATGCTGTGTTCAAGATGTGGGCGTACCATGGTTTTATATAGAGGCAATAAGATATTCTCTGTCTTAGTCTCTCTCCCTCTCTCAATGATTCCTAACATTCTGGTTGCTTTTTGGCCTGCGGCTGCACACCGAGTGGATGTTTTCAGAGATCTATGTCAGAGAAACTTTTCAGGGTCCCTGCGTTCCACTAAAGAGCACCCTTGTCTGGGGCTTGGTTCAGCATTTCCCATTCCAAAAGGATCACTTTGACTCCAATCTTTGGGTCATCTGGGGATGTTTTCTGTGGTGATTTTCTGTTGCTTTTACTGATGCCTGCATACTCCAAAATAGGGAATTTCTGTTACCGGAGTCCATTGTTCAGAATTCAGTTATCTGGATAAGGAAAATATCATTTTTCAGTTTCAAGAGCAACTCATTTTCTTCACCCATGAGAACAGCCCCCCTGCCCTGCATTGGCTCATTGATTGGAATGGGCCCCATATGAAGAAAGATTAAAAAGACGTGGACTTTTCAGCTTGGAAAAGAGGAGACTAAGGGGGGATATGATAGAGGTCTGTAAAATCATGAGTGGTGTGGGAAGAGTGAATAAGGAACAGTTATTTACATATTCCCACAATATAAGAAGGAAGGGTCACCAAATGAATTTAATAGGCAGTAGGTTTAAAACAAACAGAAGGAAGGGTTTTTTTTTTCACTCAGCACACGGTCAATCTGTGGAACTCCTTGCCAGAGGATGTGGTGAAGGCTAGGACTTTAACAGGGTACAAAAAAGAGCTAGATAGATTCATGGAGGTTGCGTCCATCAATGGCTATGAGCCAAGATGGGTAGGAATTGTGTCCCTGGCCTCTGTTTCTCCAAAGCTGGGTGTCAGGGAAGGGATCATGTGAGGATTACCTGTTGTGTCCTCTTTCTCTGTGACATTTGGTACTGGCTACTATACAGGGTACAGAGCTGGATGGACCATTGGTCTGACCCAGTTTGGCCATTCCTATGTTCTTATTTTAACATTGTCTGTCCATTCAGGGATCTGTACTACAATCATTATCTTCAGGAAGTCAGGAGAGCATACAGCGTGTGCACGAGACTCTCTTCGGCCTCACAGTGGTTCACCATCTCCTCAGCTCCATGTCAGATTCCAACACCACCCACTTCAGTAATCCCTCCAACTTCATCCTGCTGGGCTTTCCTGGCCTGGAGACAGCCTACGCCTGGATCTCCATCCCCTTCTGCAGCACATACACCATATCCGTGCTGGGGAATTTCACCATCCTGTTCATTGTCAAGAGGGAGCTGAGCCTCCATGAGCCCATGTACTATTTCCTCTGCATGCTGGCCGTCACCGACCTGGTCTTGTCCACATCCACCCTGCCCAAAACACTGAGCATCTTCTGGTTCAATTCCAGGGAGATCGATTTCAGTGCCTGTCTCACCCAGATGTTCTTCATTCACTGCTTCTTAGCAATCGAGTCGGGGATCTTTGTGGCCATGGCGTTGGATCGCTACGTGGCCATCTGCCATCCCCTGAGACATTCCACCATCCTCACAAACTCTGTGGTGGCCAAGATCGGCCTGGCTGTGTTGCTGCGTGGTGGCATGCTGACATTACCCTTTACTTACATAGGAAGTCGGTGGCCGTATTGCATGACCAACATCATCGCTCACTCACATTGCGAGTACATCGCCGTGGTGAGGCTGGCCTGTGGGGACACGAGACATTCCACCATCCTCACAAACTCTGTGGTGGCCAAGATCGGCCTGGCTGTGTTGCTGCGTGGTGGCATGCTGACATTACCCTTTACTTACATAGGAAGTCGGTGGCCGTATTGCATGACCAACATCATCGCTCACTCACATTGCGAGTACATCGCCGTGGTGAGGCTGGCCTGTGGGGACACCCGTATCAGTAGTTACTACGGCCTCTTTGTAGTTTTCTTTGTGACTGGTCTGGATTTGTTTTTTATATCCGTGTCCTATACTCAGATCCTCAGGGCCATCTTCAGACTCCCCACCAAGGACGCCCGGCTCAAGACTTTTGGGACCTGCGGCTCCCACCTCTTTGCCATCCTCTCCTTTTACACCCCAGGTCTCTTCTCCTTCCTCACACAGCGGTTTGGCCAGAATGTGGCCCTGCATTTCCGCATTCTCATTGGTAATGTGTACCTCCTGGTGCCCCCCATGCTGAACCCCATCATCTACGGGGTGAAGACGAGACAGATCCGGGACAGGCTGCTCCAACTCTTTAGTTGTAAAGGGAGCTAAAAAAGCAGGGATTTTCAAAGGTGCATAGAAAGGATAGGTGCCCAACTCCCTTTGACGCTAAAAGGCAGTTTCATACCTAACACCCTTAGGGTATGTCTACACTTGCAGCCTAATTCGAAATAGGGCTGCAAATGTAGGCATGCAAAATTGCAAATCAAGCCCAGGATTTAAATATCCCATGACTGATTTGCATCTTCCCGGCCGAGTGCCATTTCTTGAAATTGACAAGCCCGGAATAACTGCCTGTGTCGACACGCGGCAGTGAAACGGGCATTCGAAATAAAGCCCTATTTCAAAATACCTGTTATTCCTCCTATAATGAGGTTTAACCATTATTTCAAAACAGGGTTTTATTTCGAACACCCGTTTCACTACTGCATACAGACGCAGGCAGTTATTCTGGGCTTGTCAATTTCAAAAAATGGCGCCCGGCCGGGAAGATGCAAATCAAACATGGGATATTTAAATCCCAGGCTTGATTTGCAATTTCGAATGCCTACATTTGTAGCCCTATTTCGAATTTGGCTGCAAGTGCAGACATATTCTTAAGGTGTGTCTAGACTATAGTGTTTTTTCGAAAAAAAGTAGCCTTTTTTCAAAAAAAACTATCCCTGTGTCTCGATCTCCGCCGTGTTCGGTCAACGGTAAATCAAAAGAACGTGGTGGTTTTGTCGATGGTGGTAAACCTTGTTTTACGAGGAAGAATGCCTTTTTCGACTGAGATCTGTCAACAAAAGGTGTGTGCGGACAGAAGAATGCCTTTTTCGACTGAGATCTGTTGAAAAAAGGTGTGTGCGGATACAGGGAGCCAGTTCTGTCTACAAAAAAGGCCCCCAGGAAGACACCTTGGTGGACAGTCCAGCCTTCACTTGGACAGCACCTCTGTGGTTCCTGGCCGCAGCCTCTTAAAGGCACAGGCATCCAGACAGGCCTTGCTGTCCGGCAGCTAGCCAGAGCACCCGTGTCAGCCATGCTGGCCATGTACCAGCCTCAATCCAAAAAGTGGGCACCAGCCTGGTCAGGGCCAGAAATTAAAAACCTGCTGGAGGTCTGGTCCCAGGAAGAAGCCCTTGAGGCCCTGCAGACATGCCGCAGGAATGTGGAGGTCTGAGCAGTGTATGGCCCAGGGTCTCAGAATTTGGCCTTTTGTGGTGCGTCTATTAACTCATTTCATCCTGAGGGATCCGCTATACTGTTCAAATGCAGACACCTCAGGGCTCTAGGCTACCCATCAGGGGGCAAAGGGGACAGACCAAAATGGGACATTTTGGCCCATATAACTGGACCCAATCCATTGCCTGAAGAAAGTCCTAGGCAGTTTCCTGACCGGGCAGTGTGAAAAGGACCAGAGCTTCCCTTTCGGTCTGACCACGCACACGTTGGCCTGGGTTTGACAAGAGGGGCAACTCCCATTATCGCAGGGATTCCCCTCAGTTTGCCGGTTTCAGGAGTCAGGGCCAGGATGCCTCAGACCCCTTGGATTAGGGGGTCCCTAATCCAAGCCCTCAGCTGAAGCTGCTTCCTTAATGTTTCCCAGCCAGCAACTGACCCTTTCCCTCAAACCTCCCTTCCTTTTTTCCCTGCCTGCCCTCAACCGGTCGGACAGGTTGGGTCTTTTTGCCTACGTGACTTAAGGCAGCTGTCCTGCTGGGCAGTGCTACAGATACCCGCCAGTAGGGGTCACCCCAACCCACACACAGCCACCAGGGGATGTCCAGAGGGTATGGCATGCTCACTACATCACAGTCTTCAAGTCACCAGGGCCTGATGAAATTTGCAAGTTGCAGTTGGGGAGGTCTAGGTTGGAGATTACTATTTCCCCAGGAGGGTGGGGAAGCGCTGGGCTGGGTTCCCTAGGGAGGGGGTGGACTCTCCATCCCTAGAGGTGTTTCAGTCCCGGCTTGACACAGCCCTGGCTGGGATGATGGAGTCGGGGTTGGTTCTGCTTTGGGCAGGGGGCTGGACTCGATGACTCCTGAGGTCTGTGCCTGCCCTGGGATTTTAGGATTTTAGGATTATCACACAGGCCTACCCAGTCCCAGTCCCCGTCCCAGAGGGGTAAGTCCCAGAGGTGTGACCTTCAGAATGGAAACAGGCTGGTGACTGGACACACATCTCTCTCTGGCTACGTCTACACTGGCATGATTTTCCGGAAATGCTTTTAATGGAAAAGTTTTCCATTACAAGCATTTTCGAAAAAGCGCGTCTAGATTGGCAGGATACTTTTCCGGAAAAGCACTTTTTGCAGAAAAGCGTCCGTGGCCAATCTAGACGTGCTTTTCCGCAAAAAAGCCCCGATCGCTATTTTTGCGATCGGGGCTTTTTTGTGGAAAACACTACTGGGCTGTCTACACTGGCCCTTTTGCGCAAAAGTCTTTCGGAAAAAGACTTTTTCCCGAACGGGAGCAGCATAGTATTTCCGGAAAATCACTGATGATTTTACAGGAGATCGTCAGTGCTTTTCCGGAAATTCAAGCGGCCAGTGTAGACAGCTGGCAAGGTTTTCCAGAAAAGCGGCTGATTTTCCGGAAAAATTTGCCAGTCTAGACACAGTTTCCGTATCTGTGCTTCTGTGTCCTTTAGCCAGTGTTAGGAGTAAGAAATCATTAAGGGAACTTCTAAAAGGGAGATGCGAACTTTTAATACTGTGGGTCTCCCGTACTCTCTCAGCTGCTCCCTGCGTCGGGCAGGGTATGGGTTACTGAGGGAGGTGGGGGAAAGTCCGTCCCTTCAGGATTTTAACGCCACGCTTGACAAAGCCTGAGCTGGAACGATTGAGTCGGGGTGGGGCTGAGGTCTTTTCCAAGGCTAATCTCCTCTGGTTCTATGACACGAGAGGAAATGAACTGAGAGGGCAGAAGAAAATCCAGTGGGCACAGGAATCCAGTCTCTCTGCTGCCTACAGGAACCACCTTTCCACAGGGCCATTTCGGCAGGAGGTGGAGGCCTTCATCCCCTGACAAGCCCTGACTGCCCTCCGTCCCCAGGGACACGGCGTGGGTGTGGCTTTAAGTGAGTCGGTTCCTCCCAAGCAACTCCAGGGGCTGTGCTGGGTGGGTAGGTCCGTGAGTGGGAGAGGAAGTGGCATCCTCCCCCACCCCCCGCAGGAGCGGGGAGCTCCCACGCACCAGCTAGTTCTGAAACCCTGAGATTCACCTTGAGAGAGTGCTGAAGACTTTGACTCCCTCTTTCCTCTGCCCCCTTCCCCTAGCCAAAGACCAGTCCATGCCAGAGCGGGAGTCCATGGGGAAGAGACTCTGGTTACAGCAGGGAAGTCAGGACTCCTGGTTTCGGTCTTCCATCCTGACATTCAATCTGTGAGAGACCTTGGCCGACTCCTGGTTTCGGTCTTTCATCCTGACATTAAATCTGTGAGAAACCTTGGTCAAAGCAGCTCACCCCGTGCCTCAGTTTACCTATCTGCACAATGGGGATAGGTTCCTAGCCACTGTCCTTTGGTGGGTCTTGGAAAGATCCTCCAAAGAAAACTGCTGCAGTGGGTGAAGATAGTTACTGACAACTGCTGGTCTCTGCTCTCCGAGGCTATATCCATACCGCAGTGTTCTTTCAGAATAGCAGACAGTATTCTGAAATAGCATAGTTTGCTTCTCCACTACGAACAGTTCTTTTGACATAATGTCAAATTAATGTCAAGCTGGAGGATTTCTTACTCTGACTCCTGTAACCCTCATTGTACGAGGAGGAAGGGAAGTCAGAGGAAGAGAGGGCCTCTTCAGACTTCCTGCTGTGTAGACAGCGCCGAAAGCCGAAGTAAGCTATTTCGACTTCAACTACGCAATGGATGTAGCTCAAATTGGGGAGCTTATTTCAGCTTTAGCACTGCTGTGGAGATGTGCCCTAAGAGACAGCTCTGTGTGTCTGCAGGAAGTGTTCAGGTGTCCCCCTTGTCATCTTTCTCCAGAGCTGTCTGTCTGCCACCTGCCCAGCCATCCTGGGCATTTCCGGGGGAAAAGAGCCTGGGGAGAACAGGGCATCATGACACTATTTCCTAATCCTGGAATGGGTTACCTAGGGAAGTCGTGGAGTCTCCATCCCTAGAGGTGTTTAAGTCTCAGCTTGACAAAGCCCTGGCCGGGTTGATTTAGATGGGATTGGTCCTGCCTAGAGTGGGGGGCTGGACTTGACGACCTTCTGGGGTCTCTTCCAGTTCTATGATTCTATGATAAGGGGATGGTTGGATGAAATAACATGATCTTGGTAACTAATTGACCATTCATTATCAGTTGGAAATAGGTCAATGGAGGGATGATAGGAGTTGCTATAGGGAACTTTCTGGGTGTCTGGCTGGTGAGTCTTGCCCACATGCTCAGGGGTTAGCTGATCGCCATACTTGGGGTCGGGAAGGAATTTTCCTCCAGGGTAGATTGGCAGAGGCCCTGGAGGTTTTTCGCCTTCCTCTGTAGCATGGGGCATGGATCACTTGCTGGAGGATTCTCTGCATCTTGGGGCCTTCAAAGTATTTGAGGGCTTCAATATCTGAGATATAGGTGAGAGGATTATTCTAAGAGGGGTGGGTGAGATTCTGTGGCCTGCGTTTTACAGGGGGTCAGATTAGATGATCATAATGGTCCCTTCTGACCTTAAAGTCTATGAGTAAACATGTACACAGAGCGACCAATTCCTCCCCGTCTCGGTGCACAGCCCAGGAGTTCTTGCCTTTTGGGAAGGGCCCTTCATTAGAGCTGACTCCCAAGGCAGCAGCCTGGTCTCCAGTCTGTTTACACTGATATGCTCGGGCAGCAGCCTGGTCTCCAGTCTGTTTACACTGATACATTCACTCCTCCGCTACAGTGTGAGCGAACCCCACTGGGGCTGCACAGAGCTATCTTATAAAGGGGCACAGGCCCGGGTCAGCTTTCAGCCACGGACATTTCCGGGGATGCTGGGGTGAGTGATGTGTGGGGCAGGGTGATCTGAGGGGGCTTCTCAGGGAAGACACGCATGTTTCCAGATTCCCAGATGCCCACCTCTTGCTGAAG